CAGCATGGCTTCCTAAAAATGCTGCAGGATTTCTCAAACATGCATGAATGAGTCAAACCAAGGCTTTGAGCATGTTTTTTATGAGAGTATAACATTATAACATGATATAAAACTCAAAAAAGTTGATTTTACATGATATTGCCCCTTTAATGATCTTGTAGTTYAGGCACAAGGTCAGTATGACCAGTTCTGCTTCAAACTCTCACAGCCACAAATGTTTCATGGACACTCAAAACCACTATGGACCTACTATGCATGTTAGTCATCCCATTGTGCTCTAAACACTAGGAGTGTAACAAAACATGGATCCACATCGATATATTGATTAAATTATTAAAGATTCAACTATGTCAAGGTAAAATGAAAACATAGATCCATATTGTCMTTTTCCCATCAAACACGATTGTGTTAGATGGGCATATGCATCATATCACACCATGAAATTGTATCATGACAGACTGATTTTGAGAAACATCCCATCGCCATCCAAACAAATCATTATAATAGTGTATCGTGATTAAGATGGTGATTTACAACCCAATTAAATAAGTGCTTAACACAGAGTTGCATTCTCCCATTTCTCTTCCCATTTTCTCAGGCTTGAGAAGGTTAACGGGCCGACAGGAGGTGGGTAACATACTGGCGGAGATGAAGGAGGAGAAGAGGAGGATGGACATGGAAAGGAAGGTGTCGATTGCTGAACTCTTCCGGTCCTCTCTTTACCGCCAGCCAATCATCATCTCCATCCTGCTGCAGCTCTCGCAGCAGCTCTCTGGAGTCAACGCGGTGAGTTTTTAAATACCAGTTATTTWAAAAAAAWTCATYTTTTATTGCATTTTTTACATCACAACCCAGTTCACATATTGTAATGTCGAAAAACTTTGGTACTTTGTATATTATTGATCTAACCTAACTCTGTTTAACCCCTCCCGCAGATTTTCTATTACTCCACCAGTATCTTCATGAAGGCAGGAGTCCAGAGTCCGGTCTACGCCACCATAGGAGCAGGAGTGGTGAACTGTGCCTTCACCGTGGTCTCGGTGAGAAGCCATGACTTTACATTAGCTTTAATCACACTATCCATATCCTCACAGAAAAAGGTTTTTCAAATTTAAAACAATAAAGTCTATAGTCCTACCACTGCAGTGAATCAATAAGTGAGTCTCTTTCAGTGTTTACCTCTGTTATCTAACAAAAAAAATTAGATAAGAGAAGGTCACCCTTTTTGTCAGCCCAACTGAAAAATAGGCTTTAGCTACTGAGGCTAACAGCATTATTATTGTGTTTTTCTTCAATGATCAGCTTTTCCTTGTGGAGAGGATGGGTCGTCGGACACTTCACATGTTGGGACTAGGAGGGATGTGTATTTGTGCCATCATTATGACCACAGCACTGGCTTTACTGGTGAGGAACTCAAGATACGGGTGTGGATTTCATCTACCAGGATCATGGGGTTCGGTTAACATCTTTTGTTTTTACTCCGCAGGACAAGGTTGCGTGGATGAGCTACATTAGCATGCTAGCAATATTTGGCTTTGTGGCCTTCTTTGAGGTGGGTCCAGGTCCCATTCCGTGGTTCTTCGTAGCCGAGCTGTTTTCTCAAGGTCCAAGGCCAGCTGCCATGGCTGTGGCGGGCTGCTCCAACTGGACGGCCAACTTCATCATTGGCATGGGCTTCCAATACGTTGCGGTGAGTCCACCAGTAGTTTTACATTTTGAGCCAAGTCTGTTCGATGGAAACCAAACATCTCCTGTCCTTTATCCCAGGATCTCTGCGGCCCGTACGTCTTCCTGATCTTTGCGGCGCTCCTCCTCTTCTTCCTCATCTACACGTTCTTCCGCGTGCCGGAGACCCGGGGAAAGACCTTCGACCAGATTGCGGCCAACTTTAATCAGCACTCCCTGGGAGGGATGCTGGACATGAATATGGACATGGATGTGGACAAGCCCTGTACGGAGCTGGATTATTTAGGGGACGATGGCATGAACTGAAGAAGTGCAGATCAAAAAATACGAACTGAACTGGAGTACGARCTGGAGTTTGTCTATGGGCTCTCACTCAAAACTTTTCTTTCCTGACGTGTTTTCAGATCTGTAACTGTACTCGTATATGTTGTGGTGCTGGAGCAGTGTGTGGAGTGTGTGAGACGTGTTTGGCTGGTACCACGGCAGTTGATTATCAGTGGGTTTGTGATCGACTGCTGTACTTTTAACAAATATGAGCTGTTGAGGCCTTGACTGCCAGGGTGATGGGATGTTATTCCATGCTGAGGCACTAAGCTGCAGTGTTCACAGACAAAGATGGAGAAACTTTGGAATTCCTGCACTTTATACACAGACATACCCAAAGAAAATCAACAGTGGTGGACTGGGCACAGCTAACCAAAAYGTTAGGTTCCCTGACCACTATTCAGCTAAACAGRAATCTTAGCTCCGCTAACGCTAAACAGATTACATATTTAGTGGAAGCTACTGCTAACCGCTAAGACAACTGTCACCCAGCCATGTGTCACAACAAAAAACCTGGTGTTAGTTTTCCATTGGTTTAAATTGAAGGTGGGTGGGATCATCTGTGGCAAATCAGCCAATCCAAACCAGTTAGCTCAGTCTGACTTGTGATGCTTCTAGTCTCACCTTTCAGAACAAAAGCAACTTTTGATTGAGTTTGTATTTTTTATAAACACTGAAGTTACTCAACAAATATGCTCTCTACTATAT